CGCTTGGAAATCTACGATGGCCGCAACCGTTGAATAAGGTTAAAATAGGACCTCATGAAAAATACATACATACAAATGTCTTCTTCGACGAAACCTTTTGACAGATTGAATTGATAATATGCCTAAATGATTGTCTTATAAACACAAAATGGCTACCACTGCATGACATAGTGAACACAGAACCTAATGGGGAAAATACAAACATATTCTCTTAGAAATGGTTTGACAGGTTGAATGGATAATTTGTCTGGATGATCGTAAAATATAATTGTCCTCTGCTATATTAGTAATTTTAATGTTGATCGAAACTCTAAGATGGATGCCACCACGGTAGCTTAACATATGACCCTATGGGGAGTACATACAAACAACTGTTCAGTTCACTGTATGACAAATGGAATTGATATTGTGCCTAAATGATCAGTCTATGGTATATAATTAAATTTGGGTTTTGGTGTCTATCCAAAATCAAAGATGGCTGCCAGCGCAGGACATAATTCCATATAGGACCCTTGAAGAAATAAAAACAAAAAGGCTTCCTCTAAAGAACTGTATGACCAATTGAAATGAAATTAAGCATTTTTCAACCGATCATGGTTCTTAACGAAGTTTTGTTTTTGGGGTTGATAAAAAATTACGAAATGGCTGCCACTACGTAACATACTTTAACATAGGACTTTTTGCATTTTAATTTTGTCCTCCGAAACCAAAGGCCAACTGAAACCAAAATTTACATGGCAAAACATTGGAAAGTCCCCTTTCATTTTTTTTATATCCGATAGCCCTTCCTCCATCCTAAATAGCCACCGTTACTAAGAATTGATTTTTGTTTTTAATAAATGAATTTTTGCACAAAAAGACTTTAATTGACAATAACTTATGAGTTTTGTTGTCATTTGTCAAATTTTCACAATTCGTTTTAGTTTGAAAGTTGTCTCACATGTGAGCAATTACAGGCTCCTTGGAGGCTCTGTTATATGAAAGTTTGAGCATAGTAAACAAGTCTAACATGAACTGTGTTCAAAAAAAAAAAAGTAAAATCACAAAAATACTGAACTCCGAGGAAATTTCAATCGGAAAGTCCCTAATCACATGGCAAAATCAAATGACAAAACACATCAAACGAATGGACAACAACTGTCATATTCCTGACTTGGTACAGGCATTTTCAATTGTTGAAAATGGTGGATTGAACCTGGTTTTATAGCGCTAAACCTCTCACTTGTATGACAGTCTTATCAAATTCCGTTATATTTATAACGATGCGTGAACAAAACAGACATTATAAATAAAATAGTCAAAATATGGGTACAGCAGTCATCACTGTGTTACAATATCAAAACAAACAATTATTTACAAAAAAGCACAAAAGCATCTATCAAATTAAAAACCACATTCATTGCTTCGCGTGTCTGACGTCAGAAAATGTAAAAATCACATAAGAAAAAAGTTTGTCATTCAATGTTTATTCAAAACAATTTTATAATTTCACATGGGGAATGTTGGTATACAGGGTTAAAAAATCAAAAGTTATGTTAGAATTAATTTCAGAAATATTATCTGGCACAAAAACGACAACATTGTTGTAGTATTTGCTTTATTCAGCATTCAAGTAGTTAAAACTTTTCCATTTTGAAGAAATTGAAGTAAATTGGTGTTCAGTGTTTACAATTATAGTTATCTAAGCTTTTAAAATATATTTCGTAATCTAAAAGTTTTGAAACTCAGAAGTTACATACTTGTATTTTATCCTTATTCAAATATTTATCTATATTCATTATATGTATCACTGAAAATATGCTTTCTTCTCAAATAATTAACCTAGTGTGATAATGTTTTTTTAGTTTTCTACATCATATAGAAATTGCGTTTAACTAAGATGTATACATTCCACTGGCGCTGGCTATTACAGCTTTACTACTGAGTATCATAGTAGTTAGATGTATATTGTTCATGGTATCTTGGCATTCATCTTGTCAACGGACTTCACGTTAACATGCATAAAACAAAATACCGATATTCATCATGAGCATGGAGTCATAACAATAAAACAGTCAAATCGATAACATATAATTAAAAAGTATTGAAAAGTTGTGCCAAATCTCGTAACTGTCGCCTTAGGTCGAAAAAACTTTATTTTTTCGAATGATTTTAACTTTTTAACAGTATATTTAAAGAAAAGGACAGTATCAATGGTATGATATGTCAGCACAAAAAGCATTGACAACTGGGACTATCTAAGACCAAGCGTTTCACCAGCAGTGGCATCGATCCTGTGGTTCTAAACAAAAATCAAGGATAACAGTCTGATAATTTGGTACACCAGATGCGCGTCCCGTTAACATAAGACTCGTCGGTGGTGTTCGTAATAATGGTTATGACATACTGCTAAAACTTTACTAGAAAAGGTTAGCACCAACCTGATCTTCAAAAAATGTTCTGCTTTGGGTGTAATGTTTTGTTGTACCAAACACCATATTTGAGCATGACATATTGAGGTAAACGCAATTACGTATTTTAAAACTAGAAATATATTTTTTATCAAATACATTGGTAATGGATAAATCTTCTACTCACAGTTCACATATTTAGAGAAAAAAAGACAGATCTATGGTGGAAATTTGCATATATAGGAAAACTATTTGCATAATATACTTGTATGAAAATGATTAACAGATTGCTATTTCATTACATGTTTAAATAAGAGATTCTGAATTTAAACAAACATGTTGATATAAAATTAGTACTTGTCAGATTGCCTCCATTGAAATATTCAACAAATGATAATTACAGAATTATTTAAAGTGTGTGTCCTTCAAAATTTCATTAGCTCTGTAGATATGATCAATACACTAAACTAGTTTATGTCGATAAGAGATAAATGAAGGAACAATTCAAAACTCTTTTTTGTAATTCAATGCACTATAAACTAGTAACTATGTAAATCCTTGAACTTCCTTTCCTTTCTTTTCTTTGTTTCTTCATAACATGCATAATCACGTTTGTGATAAATTTAAATTGTTATCTTTTGTTTTTTGTTTTTTTTTACTGGTATACATGAACGACGTTTTATTCTTAAACTAAACGTTTTTGCATATTCAACGTTAGCTAAGTTTGGTTTTCGAAAACTATTCAATCATGTTGAGTTGTCATTTTCTATGGCACCAGATTTTGAACTATGAGTATTGCTGAATAGATTATGCTATAAGGTCTTTCTAATTATGTAAGTAGAATGTCCTGGGTATACTCCAACTTCCGGTCACTACCATAACATAATGAAAAAGACATATACAGGTCAACAAAGTGCCTTTAACAATGGGAAAATGTCTATACAATATATCAAGCTCTAAATCACAACGAGTTTAATAAGTTGTGAATAAATTTGACAGAATTTCTAAGATTTGCTATCAACCTCCAAAACTCAAATTGACAATAGCATTAGAATATTACAAACGACAATCACCGACGATGTTCGTGACTTGGAACAGACACATATGCGTGTGCCACGATAAACTATTTTCTGATTTAGACCTTAACCATCCCTTTAAACTCGATCAGTAAAATAACATACTTGTATGGTTAATAGTACAACAGTAAAGAAATATATCTACTGGAAAAGCATTTTTAACTAGTTGATGACGTTAAAGATAACAATGACACAATTTCAAACAAAACATTAATAAATAATACCGTTTAAAAGAATGCACAAAGCTAGAAGTCCTCAAACTGCTGATATCAAATCATGGGTCAGTTGGAGGTTAATTCAAGTCTATTGCAAGATTCAGATGAAGGACTTTCACTGTACTTTCTTTACTATTTTTGAAAGATTTAAAAACAATTTTTCGAATTAGGTGTTTGCAATGCTCCTCAAGTTCATGTTTGACTTCTCACCATCAAGTTGTTTTAATGGAACACTGTCCAGGGATATATGGTTACAATGATACATGTATAAGCGCTCTCTGAAAGTTGGGCTGTTGACTAATATCAGCTAACTTTTTTTGTTTACATTTTATTGGTATTTAAGTGTATCACTACATTATTTCTAAATCATTAACTAAGTATTTGATCTTGCTATTAGTAACTAGGAACCTTCTGTAAAAACACTATCATCTTTTGTAATTGAGCTGCTACCTTATTGACAACTCACTGTAACGCTCATATATCACAGCTTTGTAGTGTGGAATGTAACACTTCAACCTTACGCAAAAATGACAAATAACATTTTCGATTATTTCCTAACGTTTCGTGATTGTCAAATCGGACGAGACAACAAAATGACGTCCTACTTTCTAACTTTCGAACTCGATCCAATGCTATTTAACTTTAAAGAATTTAAAGTACATCAATAATTAATGTAAACTCACCTTATATTTATGCATTTCTGGCTAGTGTCTCAACACGAGGAAAGTATTTCGGAATGAATGTAATTTTCATCTAAAACAGTATAACACTCATCAAAGATACCAGGTTTGTAATTTGGTACGTCAGAAGTGCGTTTATCAACATTAGACTGATCAGAGGCATTCAAACCAAAACCGTTCAACAGTTCGGGAGGATTTTTTAAAAAATAGCCAGCTTAATCAGACTTGTCGAATATATATCAGCAACCACATAATTATAACAAAAATAAGAAACAAGAAATGCAAATAAACGCCCGTGTTAAATATTGCAACAAAACAAACGAGGAACCCGACATTGTGCAGTAAGTAGCCTAAGAAAAAGTAGATGTGCCTGTGCTGACGATCGCATTTAAAGTTTTTCTTAGTTGTTACATCTTTATTTATACTAATAAAATTCAATAAAGATACCAGGATTACAATTGTGTACGCTGGACGCGCGTTTCGTCTATCAAAAGACTCATCAGTAAATCAAACAAGTTATGAGGCCAAATAATTACGAATTTGAAGAGCATTGTGGACCCAAAATTCCGAAAGATTTGTCAAATAAAGCTAAGGTTTATATTCCTGGGATAGAAAATCATTAGTATTTCAAACAATTCATAGTTTTTCAAACAGTTTATTTGTAAATATGACAATACCAGCGAAAATTCATAGGTCCTAATCTATGTGACAAACAATAAAGATACTATGTGTATACAATAAATGATACACAACTTCCAGACACTACCATAATATAAATATGTTTGTAACAGAAAGAAAACAAATGAGCTTTGAATAAGACAACACAAACTACTGATTTCAAGGAGAGATCATTTATTCATAATGTATTTAATGGCATTAAAATAAATAACAACAGAAACTTAATGTCTGTTAGTAAATAATCTTGAATGTTTATTTGTATTGTGTGCATGAGTTGTTTCCGCCAGTTGAAAAATTTGATGGTTGCAAATGCAGTTTTAGAGGCGTCGAAGAGTAAATATTCATCACAAAATGACGACATATGGTGGAAAATTTTCACAATTTACAATTTGTTCGTTACATGCACCTATCGTGTTTGGAAGATATTTCATTTACATGGTCTTTTGAATGTAGGTTTAGTTTCGTTTTTTTATTAAAAGTCTTCAATATGGCGTCTCACTCAAGTGAAACCCTACATTTATGACATATCAACTGTGAATTTGACGACAAAAAGTAGCCGTTAAATAACGCATTACATAAAAAATTGCAAAATAATCTGTTATTTATTCAATGTTTTAAGATGTTAGTTTGGTTAAAGCATTAAACATTAATCAAATTAGTCATTTGAACATCATCTTTTTGTTCTTATTGGTTACAATGTTAATATAAAGTAAGAGAAAAAAATATACTGAGCATATAGAATTGCTTTAAAGATAAGTTAGATCCGAGAAAGATGTTAAATGCTGATATTCAAAAAATGTATTTTATCTTCTGTCCTAAACAATTTCTCTGTTAAATGGTGATTGATTCAGTGCTTTCTATCCGATTTAAAAAGTTATTAAATTTATTAACCCTTTCTTTCCATGTACCAGAAAGATCAACAAACTTCTGTGAAATGCTCTTGAAAATATTGAAAGTGTCAAAATTAATAATGAATAATTCGAAATCATCTTCGAACGACATAAAATATGTTGGAAGATAGAGATATTTTTCGGTGGTTATCCTGTTTATCAAAGTTAACCATACATTTGTGATCGGTCCATTAGTATCGCTATTTCCTAACAAATCTCTTACTACACTGTTGTTAAGGACGACTAGGTTTATTCTATTTTCTAGCATTTGTTCTTTAAATGAGTATCCGGTTGGAGTTTCCACGACAATGTCTGCAGGATCTAATATTTTATACTTGAAAACGGTGGTAGGTATGAATGTTGATAACTCCTCTATAAATGTCTTGTCGGTGTTTAATGATATGATATTGATGGTCTTCGTTGATTTGTGCAAGTTGCTTTCCGGTTTTCCTTGCTCTAAATTTATGTGAATTTGCCTGGAAAAGGGCATGTCGTTTTGGTCCACTGAAAATATTGATGGATTTTTTTCAACGTCTTTTCCTACATTTGAATACTGGATATTTCTGTTGTTCAGTGGTGATTCTTGATGAGTCTTCTGATGTCTGCAGACCAAAATCAAAGCACCAACTGCAACCATTATCACAACAAATACGCTCATAACAACTGCAACATACAACCATTTGCTTGTCTCGACCTTTTCTATACTTATTGAACTTGTTACGACAGCCGGTGGTATTTCTGAAAATTAAAATTAAATCAAATTTGTTCCCTATGCTTTCATGTGGCAGGAGGAAGGTACTATTAGTTCATTATCAAATGTCGAACCATTTCATATTCATTTTACCCAAAGTACGACTCCGGTTAAGAAATATAATTACCTGGACATTAAACAGTCCAACACCAAGACACATTCTGAATGGGCGTTTGGTTTGGCCGTGCCAAATGTATAATACACAGCCCGGTTGAACTGCGAAAGTTGTATCCGATGGCCTGTGTTGTGAGCGTTCATCGTTATATGCATGTTAAAGAACAATTCAACAATTCCAAAAATCTTAGATGGATTCCTGAATAGCCTGTTGCAAAGGAAAAGTTCTGCTCCTATCATAAATACCTGGGAAAATCCCAGGATGAGTTTGAATGTTTCGCCATTTATTTCTTTTTTTTTTTTGCATAATTTCATTTTCGATGTAATGCAAAAAAAGTTCAGAAATTCAAATATACAAAACCACTACAGAATTAACCTACTTCATCATTTAATTTCAAACTTTGTCATAAAATCTTGTTAAATAGTTTTATTTCAATTGAATAAGGGTTTTACGTACTACGGGCTCACATTTGTTTTGCCACTGTGATGTTTTGAAAGCTTTATATGATTACACAATGTTATAACACTTTTTCATATAAAGAACCAACATGTCCCTTTACCGGCTTTCGGTCCTAGATGCAATAGATAACACAAAATCTCCTGTATACGATTGCAAAATACATTGTATTACAATGACAATCGAAACTGCCTACAAAAATCTACTGTTCAGGCTAGCAAAAACCAATTGATTTTAATGACACTCGGGATCACAGATCCTATTGTGTCTGCAATAGTGATAGCCGGAAATAGGGTGTGAACAAAGGAACTTTATCGATAGGAGTTTCTTACAAATTTAAAATCTATAACGGTAATTTCTTTCCTTGCATATTTGTTTTGATTAATTTCCTCAATTAATTTAACGGTCATGACGGTTGCAGTAATATGTACAAAACTTTAATTCAGTTTTATTTCATTAACTTTCATATGCTTTTTGGGTGATATGACATACCATTCCTTTAGGCTTATGTGTTATTTTCCCTTCAATTACAGGACGGATTATCAATTAAATTTTTAATAAATATTGTGTTCCTTAGTGCCTCGTGGTCTAGACAACACTTTAATCACTTTAAAAGGTAATTATCTGAATAATTTTGTATCGGAGACGCAACCTGCACAATGTCTATGACATAGGCTAATCGAATTACATTAAATGAAAAATATGGCTTTCGTTACTCGGGTAATACCTTTTCTCGACGGCTTAATCTATAGGATTGTAACACAGTACATGATGTTAAGCCTTTTGAAATATCTCATTAGTACTTTGAATTTCCAACATACATTAAAGAATGAAATGTTAATGGCGGGTGTTGCACGATTTCCTGTCAACACACCCGGGCCTACGGTCAAACAACTTTACTAAGTGCTCGGATTACAAAAACTTTGCTCGAAACTCCAAATTCCAGTATTTTGATTGATTGAGTTTTGAGTCTGAGTAAAATAATTGTTCTCACAACATTGATGACTATAAGGCCCGGTCTCGCCCTTTTTTGGAGTTTCTCCGATTACCTCAGTTTTTGTTTGTTATCTTGATTTGTATCTTCCTCGTCGATTTGTCAGATTTGAACATAAGTAAACTACTGTTGCCTTATTTTAATGTTTTAACAGCTTGAGAGACATCTTACCCATATCCTGCAGGAATTCACAGAAATCATCACAACTTGTACATCTTGGTTGAATCTTAAGAGGAAAAAACATGGAATGATAAGACTTATATTTATCTCATACTTTCGTTATTCTTTATCATGACTTTTTAATATCTGTACAGTTCAATTACATGGGACTATAGGGCTATTGGTTTCAAAAATAAAACGGTATATTGTTTACATATTCACCCAATTGGCTGATAAGATGAATTGCATGGAAAAGGCATCACTAACAACTTAGATTGTAGCATTGCAGTGTAAAAAAACAAAGACGATACGAAATAGCAATTAGAAATACAGAACATTTACAGGACGAATTGTGCATACTACGATTATTGAAAGATATACGTGGTTATTTGCGTCACAGATATAGTAACTAAAAAATAAATGTTGGAATGGACGATATTTTGAATGTTGCTTTCATACCGATATTGTATACCGTTTGTCCAATTTCAGTTTATGTTTAAGTGAATCTGTCAACTCGTACAAAGGAAATATCTGAAATGAAAGAAGAATATTGTTTTTAAACAAATAAATTCATAAATGGTCCATTGTGCATTAGCAGTACGTGATTGAATTCAATAAAAGTGAATCAAAATAATAAATCATCCCTTGAACTCAGAACAGTTAGTGTTTGCCAATTAAATCAAAGTAAAGTTTTTCATCACTCAATTTTATCCTTCAGTAAATTTTGTTAAAGCAACACAAAGTCACTTTTACTTAAATCATCCGATTTGCAAACACTGTCATGTAAACTACCTCAGATCTGTTTCCCATTTTATGATTTATGTAGACTTCTGTACTGCCGATGAAATGTTCCTCTTCATCTTGAAACGAAATCTCAAACCCTAATCTATAGAAATGGCATTTTTGCAAAAGTTTTTCACAAGGTGAGAATGTAACTTCCAAATATTCTCTGTTGATTTTAGCATCCAAACATCTGCAGAAACACACTACAATAAAATTATAATTTTACAGGATTATAAACGTATGTTGCACAGGCTACCTAAAGAAATCGGCTATACACTTCACGCCAATTTCACAATGGAAAGTCCCTGTCTAAACATGGATTACTCCTGGAGCTAAACGTTTTCATTTACGAAGATTTCAGATTTGTCGTGTTCATCTTAAATTTGTTTAGCAACTGATCTTTCTACATAATATGAAGTTAGATATGTGATTTTTATTTTATATAGTAACCATTAAATGTTCATGTTTAGGTACTTTGGTTTTTAAGAGGTACGGCTAATTTTCCACGAATTTATTTCATACCAGGGCCATTGTTAAAAAATCCTTCAATTTAAATAATCATTAATGTACAATCAAAGGTTTAACAAAATTTTAGGAATATCTAAAACTGCAGTCTTGATAGATTTTTTTTCAAATTTAGATTATTCATTGATATTTATTACTATATTTACAAATCACACCCATATGGGTTAAGAGAAAAACCATGAACAAGAAAGATATTCTTAGAAGTCATTTCTATTGGAGTTGGAACTATGTATTGTCTTTCAAATGGAAATTAATCCGTGATAAATGACTTCTTTGATGCAAAATTGCACAAAAAAAAATTAGAGTTGATTGTACAAAAATCCTGTGTAAATTATATAGACTCAAATTCCTGTAGGTTTCAACGACATGTGACCCTATGAGTGAAACAGATACAGGGGACAGATAATACCTCTTTGCTACTGTATCGATTTATACTCGATTTATTTGACTATTATTACTTTTTTGTGTCGTAAACGTACCTCTTGCATTTAAGCTAGGGTGCCTACAGTCAATGTTGGTTATTGCAGAACATAAGTGAGCTCCGACAGCTGAAAAACAATGAAATAGTGCTACCAGCGGAATAAAATACATTTAATTAGTTAGGTCTGAATAATATATATGTATTCTTTTAATTTGTATGAATATAAGTAAGCATTTTTAATACAAAGGAAAAAGAATACTTGCCAGTAAATGTATGAAATTGACAAATAGTACTGATTCTATGATAACAGACATAAGGTTTTTTTTATCAGAAAAAACAACCTTTTATTGAATAACATGCTTTTTAAATGTGTACTGAGTTTGCTCTGTTACTAGCCTGTAGTCCTGCCTTTGATCGAACAGAATGTTTTAAACGTCTGTATCCTTTTTAAGAAAATAACAATGTACGTTAAAAATCGTATGTTTGTCGTGTAGTCATGTCGGCATGAACTATACACTACAGAGACTTGCTTACAAATAATGATGGACCATTCAGATTCATGAGATATGACAATCCTGGTCATTTATTTTTTGTATTTCTTGCTGAAATAACTCATTTCATGAAAAGTAATAAAAAGCTAGTTTCAGTTTGCCGTTTTTTTGTGTGCATATCAGTTGATAATCTATATCCTGACACATAGAAAACATGGCAAATACACAGATAAAAAATATGTTTCAATTTGTCAATTCTTATTACCACAAAAATCTGTTTTTATCTTACCTCCAGTATTAGCAATTATAAATACAGCAATAACAAAATACATGTTGAGTTTTCATTCCTTCGTTGTCATTTATATGCGTTGTACCAAGCTGAAACGAATTTGTAACAAAGAACTTTTAATTATGTATAATTAGACCTGGGACCAATAGATACTGCATTAATCCCAGATTAGACATTTAACAAATACGGCTGATTTTTTATTAACAAAGTATATAACCTTCAATTGAAAATGGAAATTTATATATTTATTTCCGCTATTGCACTGTTTCCAAGCGGAAGCAGTTCGGTTTTTAATCACACTTAATTGGGCAACATAAAAAGAATCATCAAAGGAGTCTTTTATGATCATTGAAATCAAATATTTTAAAAAGTGTTATACACTTTACATACACGATAACTTTCAGATATAAAATTGTGTTTTTCTTTAACGAAATGTATATTTTTTTTGTAGGTTTTGTCGTTTTTTTCTATAAGATCTATTCACGAAGATTTATAGGGGTATTAGCTACGAATTAAAAAAATGGTTTCAAACATTTATAAAGGCGGACTATAGATATACAATTTCGCTTTTTACAGTCAGCTTGGTTCATTTCGTCAAAATAAGCTAAAACATCGCTGATGTATTATTGGCTTGCAAGTCAATAATTAAACCTCATTTGAAACCGTATCCATGCAACCTTTAGTTTGACATTAAGTGGGATGTGTTGCGCATGTGTTCAGTATGTGGTCAGCATGTTCATTTATTAAAAAGAAAGGAATGGCAACATTGAAAAGTGAAATAAGGGAGCCACGAAGAATAACCATTCGCTGACTGATTCGGTCCCCTAAAAACATTCTTATACAAGTAAAACATTTACATATATAGTTAATCTTAAACATGAAATTAAACAGACCTCGAAAAATCGACAATATACGGTTGCACGTGCTTGTCTGTCTATTTATATTTATATCTATTTTTATATCGGGTTGTATGACCATTGGCAGTCTTCGGGGTCATCTTAATTTATATTTAGGAGGCGTCTTGTTTAAAATACCCACGAAATGCTGATACATTATAACTTTTACATGCATTGTTTATTGTTTCTTTTGACCTTTTGTAATGTTGATGTACGTTTTAGTATGTTATAAATCAAATATGAGAATTCGGGTCAAACCCAGAACATGAATTTGACAGCTAATGCCCCTTTAACGTTGACGTATAACGCATGCATGAAAACGATGTCAATATAAATAAGAAGATGTGGTATAAGTGCCAATGAGACAACTCTCCATCCAAGTCACAATGTGTAAAAAGTTAACAATTATAGGACGAAGTACGGCCTTCAACACGGAGCCTTGGCTCACACCGAACAGCAAGCCATTTGAACATTGTCAGACGAACAACTTCATCTTACTTAATTCTGTACACAAAATAGTGCTTACATTTTCTGAGAAACTAACTTAAGGGCATACCATACAGTTTTGATCCCACAGTGTTTTACGAAAATTTGCAGACAAGTTATTTTTCATCTAGTCAATTCAAAAATGTAAAAAAAAAAATACCTTCATGTGCTACTTTAAACCTATTGCTTATAGTATCTGAGATATGGACTTGACCACGAAAACTTAACCTTGTTCACTGATCCATGAAATGAGGTCTAGGTCAAGTGGAAACTGTCTGCAGGCATGAGGACCTTGCAAGGTACGCACTTACCAAATATAGTTATCCTATTACTCATAATAAGAGAGAAATTTACATTACAAAAAATCTGAACTTTTTTTTCAAGTAGTCACTGAACCATGAAAATGAGGTCAAGGACAATTGACATATGACAGACGGAAAATTCATATCATTAGTCATCTATATACAAAGTATGAAGCATACAGGACACATTGGGAAAAGATGCATTTTTCGACAGATTTTTATCATACAGACTTGAAAACGAGTCCATGGACCACTCTTTTTTAAAATGACATTAGGTTTGATTACGTATGAAGATTATTTGTACCAATTTTCATGAAAAAGACACCGATGAAATTTTTTTAAATTAGATAAATATTTAGCAAAAAATGTCGTTTTTTCTAAAATCATGAATCTTTGATAAAAATTAATTATTTCCAAAGAATTGTTATCCAATTTAGAGCATACTTATGTAAAGAAGATTTTCCAAACGTTTTTACAAAAATCCGCTTTTGTTTATCCAAAGGATAGAAATTTCCCAAAAACCGAAATTTTGAGTAAAAGTCTAAAATTTCGACCCCATTTATCTCTTACTATATTTGGTGTATGTAATGATTGAAAGGTGTACATGTCCAACAAGCAGGTGTCATCTACCTTGACCTCATTTTCATGGTTCAGTGGTCATAGTTTAGTTTTTGTGTTTTAGTCTGTTTTTCTAATACTATTTGCAATAGGTCAACTATATTTGGTGTATGGAAATATTTTACGATGTACATGTCAGTCTGGCAGGTTTCACCTGACCTTTACCTCATTTTCACGGTTCATTGCTCAATGTTAAGTTTTTGTGTTTTGGTCTGTTTTTCTAATACTGTATGCAAAAGGTCATCTATATTTGGTGTATGGTAATATTTTTGGATGTAATTGTCAGTCTGGCAGGTTTTATTTGACCTTGACCTCATTTTCATGGTTCATTGCTTATGTTAAGTTTTTGTGTTTTGGTCTGTTATTCTTAAACTTTAAGCAATAGGTCAACTATATTTGGTGTATGGAATGATTGTAAGGAGTATATGTCTGTCTGGCAGGTATCATCTGACCTTCACCTCAATTTCATGTTTGATTGGTCAATGTTCAGTTTTCCTGGTTAACTTTGTTTCTTAGATACTTTAAGCGATAGGTCAACTATATTTCATGCATGGAATGATTTTAAGGTGTACATGTCTGTCTGGCAGGGTTCATCTGACCTTGATTTCATTTTCATGGTTCATTGGTCAGTATAGAATTTCCATGGTTTGGTCTGTTTCTTTTATACTATAAGCAATAGGCCATCTATATTCTGTGTGTGGAATGATTGTTTTAAAGGTGAACATGTATTTCGGGCTTGGTTTATCTGACCTTGACCTCATTTTCTTGGATCATAAATGTTAATGTGATACTTGTAGTAAAACTTTATATGTAGGACTATCAACATAAAATCAATGGTTAGTATAGTAGGCGAGACATTTCAGCGTGTGCACTCTTGTATACACTAAATATAGTTGACCTATACCTAAAAGACCTTAAAGTATCCGAGAAACTGAACAAATCACGAAAACTAAACGTTGATCAATGATGTATGAAAATGGGATAGTGGTCAGAAAAGACCCGTTAAGCGTACATGTAACTGTTCCAGACCATATGAGTGTTTGGACCATATGGGTTAATTTTAGACAAACATTTATCAAAATCTTTTATCGAATTTTACAAATTAATATTTTTACAATTAGATGAATAAAGTGAATAAGTGAACAGATGCAAATTTATTTACTGTAACTCGTTTTAAGCCTTTTTCTGTAACGAAAAAGGAAAGTATGCTGGATACAAACGTGAAGATATGATTGAATCTTTAAATTTTCTCCTGGACAACATTAAATGTACGTTTCGTCGATAAAGTATATCGACAGGTAGTAGGTATTCCTATGGGCACTAATTGCGCCCCTTTAATAGCAGATTCATTCCTGTATTGCTATAAATCTCAGTTTATGACCAAACTCAGTAAAGACACATCATTGTTACATTTGGTTGACACATTCAACAATATCTACCGTTATTTTGATGATATTGTTTTCGTTAAATAATCCAGAGTTCCCTAATATATACTACCGAAATTTACCCAAAGGAACTTACTTAAAATAAATATAACATAAACAGTAGTTGTCCTTTTCTAGATTTAGACATTTCAATTTCTAAAGGGAAACTCCATACTAAAATTTACGACAAAAGAGACGATTTTTCATTCCCTATTGTTAATTTTCCTTTTTTAGACGGCGATGTTCCTTTGGCTCCGTCATACGGTGTTTACATATCACAACTCGTTCATTATGCTCGTGTGTGTAGTGATGTCATAGATTTTAACGAACGTAATCAATGCATCACTGGTAAATAATTCAAGTCAGGGATTTCGTTACCATAAATTACTTAAAACTTTTACTAAATTCTTTCATAGATACAAAGATTCGATTAGTAAATTAGGTTGTACCTGTAGAAAACTTATTAAAAACGGTATTTCACATCCTAAATTTTACGGAAATATTGTACTTAAAGCGCGGAAATCACTATAAGATCCGTGTAAACTCATCGAACCTTTAAACAAACTTATTAGTAAAGATTATCTTATTAATGTTGTAATAAGATCTTTGAATATTGTTTACATTGGCAAAAATATCGATTTTGTCATCAACAAATTAAAACATAACAAAATTTGTATTTTTTTCGAATGGTTTTTTGGATGTATAAATACACATTCACGTTCATTTTCTATATAGAGATTGCTTTATTTATATATAACATTATAAATATTTTTATAAGGTTAAATCAAAACTATCCTACTGCCTGTCGATACTTTTATTTTGGCATTGCACAAGTCATGTCTTATTTGACTGTCCATGGCGTTAAAACACTAAATCCCTGGGATATGTTTTAGTTGATTTTAGTCTCTGATGCATGATTTTTTATTATTAATTGTTTGTGGCTTTTAACTAGCTTTCAGTAACTGCGAGTACTCTCAAATCGTACTTTCGTGTTAATTTGACCTGTTACATAATTTGTAATGCATTTTTTGTTATTCAGTGTTAACTTATTTCGTGTTATATCTCGTCTCACTATTTTCAATATGTACCCCCTTTGATAAGTATTTAGTATGACGATAAATTTTCACTGCTGTTCTCGTACTATGAACAACAAATTTATTTATTTTGTAAAAAATATCTCCGTACTCCTAACAACAAAATTATTATATTTAAATTTACCTGTGTACGTTATTTTATTTAACGCCATTTTGTCCAAGGTTATAGTTGTCTTTTTGACATTGTGTCATAGATCAAATTTATTCGTTCTGTGTATGTTTACTTGATTTTGTTAATTGTCTTTTTGATTAAGTTAAGCCATTTCAAT